GACAGATTATTCTTGTTTTGTTTTGTTTTTTTGGTACTGGGGATAGAATTCAGGTCCTTGCGCTTGGCAAGGCAGGCAGTGGAACCACTGAGCTAAATTGCTGGCCCAGGACAGATTATTCTTAAAGACAGATTTATTACCCAGTCTGCCCCAAATATTAAGAAAAAGCTACAAACTGGCTTTTGCTCTAAATAACTCACTTGATACTTTAGAGAAGATTGCCTCCTCAATAGTTTATAATAAAGACCAAGATGAAGCCAAAAGAAAAAAGCAAAGAGACCAAGAGAGAATGAGTGTTTTAATTTTAGCCTTAAAAGAAATAGACCCGGGCTGGGGATTTAGCTCAGTGGTTCCACTGCCTGTGTTGCAAAAGAAGGACCCAAGTTCGATCCCTGGTACCAAAAAAAAAAAAAGAAAAGAAAAGAAATAGACCCTAAGTCTGATTTTCAGGGCTCCAAGAAGAGCCTGATGACAAAATTCACCTACTATTGCTGTGGAAAGCCAGACTTTAATAGAGACTGCCATAAGACGTCCCTTAAGCCTTGCCCTGATTGCAAATGTGACCACTGGAATTTGGATTTCCCCCTGAGGCAGAGGCCCCAGAAATCAGACCCATCTTACCAGCTGGTCCAATAAGACTAATGGGCCTGAGGCAGTCTCTGCCTTCTCCCTCTAGCTGAACTGACAACTACACAGAGGAGCCCCGGGTAATCATGACTATAGGAAAAATTCAACCTATTGCTAAACTCTGTCTCTTGGTCCTTCTCTTCAATCCTGGCCTTTCTTCCAGCCATCATAGCTCAGTAAAAGAAGTCACTAGAGAGGAGGTAACTTGTTATCTCACAATTATTAGGCTGTAACTGGGATGGGTTTCTCTTCACCCATTCATTTTAAATTATGCCTGAAAGTCCAGTTCCTCTCCTGAGGAGAGATATTTTATCTTATTTGAATACTGTGATATACATTTACCCAGGTCAGGTACACTGCCTCCCCCTCGTGGAGACAAAAATAAACCCTAAAGCATGGGCACCCAAAGGTAAAATAGAAAAAAATAATAAAAGCTTCTTTCACTAGAGTGAAAGGTTTTGATTCCTTCTAATTCTTATTATAAGGTATCTCTGTTAATTGACCTATAAAAAGTTCTCACTGGTCTTATTTATAGCTATAAACCTAAAAATTGTAAAAGAGTTATTATAATTCAACTTGGCCAAACACATCAGAATGCATTCTGGTTTATAAACAAATCATCTTATGTGTGCCTGTCCATCTGTCTGTCCAACCTATAAGAAGTTCCAATACTTACAGCTGTTTTGTTTGAGCTCAACAATTTTTTCTCCTTTTTTACCTTTTTGGATTTTTAAGATGTTTGTCTATAACTTAAACTGGCTTGTAGATAAGTATCATTAGAGTTAAGGACATGCTTCCACCCAGGTTGCCAGCTGATCAAATGATGGCAAAACTGATCTTACAAATACAATACATATTGTTGTCTGTGTACAATAATTTGGGAGTCTTTCATGGCTCAAAAATAATGTTAATTGTTATACTCTGGTTCTCATAGGTCACCTAAAATTTGTTAAGGCAATGAAAAGGGAACCCCTTGGGCTTGGGAAAAGTGCTGGACAAGACTCCCCTTCATGAATAAAGGAGCAGCTGCCTGGAAACATCTTATTCCAGCCTTTGTTCACCATGGGATCCCAATAGTTTCCATAGCCCTATGGGAAACACACACCAATAAACATTGCTAAACTTATTATTACAATATGTTTACATTGGTTATTATCAAAAGGTTAAGTTTTCTGTGGGTAAAGCAATAAGATTTTCTTGCTAAAAATGCGCTTAGGGCGCCAGGGATTTAGCTCAGTGGTGCTGCTGCCTGCTTCACAAGTGCAAGGCCCTGAGTTTGATCCCCAGTACCCCCCCCAAAAAAAATGCCCTCAGTACAAACTAAATTAAGAGACAAAGGTTTCCATATTGCTGTGACATTTACTACTGCTAATCTCATGGTGTACTAAATGTATTCATGCCTTCCAGGTGTAGAGGTCTTCTAAGATGTTAAACTAAGATTGTTTATGTTGATAGCCTTTTTCTTAGACTCAGATATCTGCCTTTCTCTTGTGTCCAGCTCGTTGTGATAAGAGATATATGTCAAACAAGCATGAGACCATCTGTCAAATGATTGTTTTTTTAAAAGGCTTATGTGGCCCGGGGATTTAGCACAGTGGTTCCATCACCTCCATTGCAAGCGCAAGGTCTCGAGTTTGATCCCCAGTACCAAGAGAAAAAAAAAAGGCTTATGTGATGTGTAAGTTATATTTGTGTCATTACACTTAGAGATGCTCAGGCACTAAACAGTCCAGACAATGTCACATGCTTCTTTGATGACATCCTATTAAAGGATAACAAATTAGGTGAGAGCTCGTGTACTAGATATAGATGATTAACTAAAAAGCTATTCTATACTAACAGACTTAAATGTGTTTCAAAGAGAATATCATGATTGTCATGCTAAAATACTATTCTCTGTAAAAAATTTTTTTTATTCTCTGTAAAATTTTATAATTGTTGTCTATTAATATTCTACAGGGGGTCCAGGGATTTAGGTCAGTGGTTCCACCGCCTGCCTTGCAAGCAAAAGGTCCTGAGTTTGATCCCTGGTACCAAAAACAAAACAAAACAAAAATATTCTACAGGGGGGGCTGGGGATTTAGCTCAGTGGTTTCACCGCCTGCTGCGCAAGCACAAGGACTCGAGTTTGATCCTTGGTACCAAAATAAAAAATATTCTATAGGGGTTCAACTTCTAAAACCATAATTGGTAAAAATAATAATCTTCTGGCTGTATTTTATATTTCAAGGTGATTGATATTCAAATCAAATTATAATAGTTAAGCACACTGCTTCCACTGCAATACTGATGTAACTGATCTCTTCTGGGTGTTCATCAACTAAAGTTTAGAGACCAAAACTAGAGAGATAACTGGGCTAAGAGAATAGCCAATATTTTGGCCCTGGCCCTCCAAGGTCAACAAGAACCCAAGACATGAGAGAACCTTTTCTACAGGATCCTGCAACTTTGGTGAGTCACCCAATCTCCAGAGCAAGGAGATTGCTGGACCCCAGAGGACAAAACTCAACAAATGTACAGTGTGCCAAAGGAGGATCACCAAGAGAAAAAAAGTCTCCCATGTTTTCACAGAAAGGAACATGATCTAGCAAGGCTGTGGCCCATCCTGGCAGCTGACATTGACAGAGGAGCTGAGGCTCTGTACATGGTTCCAAAAGTAATGCCAGAGGGGACTTATCTGGCCTTAATAGACATCAAGAGGTTAATTTTAATTAATACAGATCTCATTTTAACTTGGTTTTACACACCCAGCAGAAAAATATAACCAAAAGATATATAAAAACAATACCACAGTACTAAAAGCTAGGTATAAAAAGGGGCACCAATCACTGACTCCTTCTGGCAGTTTCCAGCTACACTGGTAGCTGACAACTGTTATTGTTCAATGAGGCTAAAAAAAACTATGGTAAAGGCCCAGGGATTTAGCTCAGTGGTGCTGCCGCCTGCATTGCAAGTGCAAGGTCCTGAGTTCAATCCCTGGTCCAAAAACAAAAAATAAAAAACAAAAAACCACAAAATTATGGCAAACACTATAAAAGCTCAACAAGAGTCTTCAAATTCTTTAGCTAAAATTGTCCTTCAAAACCACCAAACTCTTCATCTCCTTACAACTAAAACTAAAAAAACTTGTGACAAAAATATCAGACTTAAAATCTCCATCAATAGAGGGCCCTAAGAGCCAACCAGTTACAATTGCTACTCCAATCCCTTAAGAGCAGTGTCTAGACGGGGCTCTTTCCCCAACCTGCCTTTTCATTCTAATGTTCATGCTTTGATTATATATGCCTTAATTTCTTAGAAAATTTGTTTATTCTTGCCTAAAGCTGCCAAACTCCAAGTGATCATACAGATGAACCAACGACAAATGTGCAAGACCCTTTTTATCAGGATCCACTAGACTGACCTTGTAAAGAGAGTTCACAGCTGCTAAACTACAGGACTTCTATCCAAGGCTCCTTAGATTAACCCTCTAGAGAATATTTCTGACTGCCAATTACAACTCCAACCCCCTTCAACCTGGAATAGCCAGATGGGTCATCATCCCTTGCCTCCTCATGGCAGTTCAGGATATCTTTTCAGAGGACGGGGGACTACTATAGGCTGTTAGGTAAAAAAATTACAGGTAGTCAGATAGGGATAGGCCCTCCAGAGAGTCAGGGCAAAGGTAAAACACACTACAACTGTGGCCAGAGACTCATCTGTTGGAGACCAGGCCTCAAGATAAACATGAAATGACCAGGTCTGCATACTTCCCCAAAGGACAAGATAAGTGTTAACACCTGGGCTAATGAAGCCCAGATAGACATCAGTCTTCCCAGTGGGTGACCAAGACCTCTGGACCCATAAATTCTAGAAAAAGTCTTTGTTCTTTCCATGAACACTTATTATGTGACTTGTTTCCCCATTGGATCACTATTACCTAAGTGACTATACTTGTAACCTTATTGGTTGATCATAGCTTTAACCTATGTTGTATCCACATGGTTTTGCTCTATAAAACTTCCCTGCAAAGTGGGGTCCTCAGCTACCCATTTGGGACCCCCACCTGGCTCTCAGGAGCTATCCTCTCAATAAACATTTCCTACTCTTAACCTCCATGGTTCCTAGAATTCATCCTTCAATTTTAGAAAACACAAACTCGGCATATCAGATATCTAACAGGTTGAGAACTATAATATTTCCCTTGTATCATTTAGAGATCATATTTCATCTCTGGATATCATTTCCTATATCACTGTCACAAAATAAAAAGGGCTGGAGGTGTAGCAAAGGGATCAATCCTCAATATAAATAAATAAATGGAGTTGGGAAGCTCAACTCAGTACAGGCAAGCTCTTGACATATCATCCAAGAAAAGCATTTCAGGACATCACTGAGAGGCATCAGCTGATTTATTAGCTAGAGTTAGAAAGTAAGAGAAAACAGGGAAGGGGCTTCAGCTGGAGGAGCTGAAGGAAGCACGTCCCTAATGAAGATCAGACTGGCCCATTAACAAAGGAACAGGGCCTGTTGCTAGAGAGGAGCAGAAGCCAGAGGTCTGGTGGGTCATCATCATCTCAGTCCTGCTTTTGTAGCACCGACATGGGAGAAGAGGTGACGGCTTCTGCCTCAGTTCTGCAGAGGCTCTGCTGGACTCCAAGGTGACTGGAGACTTCTGGGCACCCACTGGTAGTTGAGTGTCCCTGCAAAACTCTTATCTTGGTGTCCTCAGACTTGAACAGGATAAGATGGGTTATGTAAATTTAGGGCTAATCAATCTTGTATGGCCAGTCTTTAGACAGACACGCCCTAAATGATTAACATGTCTATATGTACAGCTGACCTGGGATCTCTGCCAGTGTCAGGGTAACAAAGGAGACACAAGCAAAATGTAGGTCAAGCTCTGTTCTGATTTTAGTTATCCACGGAGCATCCGTAGGCCCAAGAAGTGTTGTCTCTGTCTCCGTCTATCTCTCTCTCTAGCAAAAGTAGCTGCCAAGTCTCTCACTGCCTCTGAAGAAAACACAAGCCATACTCTTTTTTTCTTTTTTGGTACCGGGAATAGAGCTCGGGTCTTTTCACTTGCACAGCAGGCGGCGAAACCGCTGAGCTAAATCCCCAGCCCTCACAAGCCATACTTTTAATGAGTAGCAGGTTAAGGGCCCAGGAGTTGGTTTGTCCTTAGTCTCCGGGAAGAATCAGATGGGCCGCAGGCAGTGGGGTAATGGGTGAACGAGCCATAGGAGGGGAAAAGCAGCACGGTGCATGCAGTGCAGCCCTTCCTTCTTGGAGGGACTTGAGAAGGGACAGGAGAGGGCCCAACCTCACCCCCCCCACACACACAATGGCACTACACAATTGGAAGATCTCATTGAGTTTATCTAGGAAAAGGAAAAGTGGTCAGAAGTTACTGGCATGTACACACACACACACACACACACCCTAAGCAAAGTCCCTGCCGAGGTTGCAGACTCAAGTCTGGATCTGGGCCTAAGGAAGCCCAAGGTACACAGAAGGAATGGGGGTGAGGAGGGATCCAGGAGCCCACCCCTGCCCGCCAGGCCCTGGGAACCCCTTCCCTTCTCCCTCCCTGATCCCAGCATCCCATGCATCCCTGCTCATCTGTCTTCTGCTCCCCCCACCCTGGGCAGTTCTCAGCTCACCTGGTCACCTGGGAGTCACCTGGTACTCCAGACCCCCATGTGGCCCCCTCCCCCCCAGGCCAGTTCTGGCTCATCAGGATTATCCATGTTCTCGTAAGAGTCTGCATCTGGACAGGATCAAGAAAGAGTAAAGCAGGTAGGGCTGGAAGTAGGCTGGGAGGGGAAAATCAACCCAGAGGATGGCCAGGCACAATGGCAGAAGCACCCACCTTCCTCTTGATGAGGACCAGGCTGAAGGGAGCGGAGCTGGGGGGCTGCATACAGGATCCCTCTCATATCCTCATAGGACTGGGACCCTGCTTGGGCAGGGGATGGAGAATTGGAGGCCCGGGAGCCACACTGAGGGCTTGGGACAGGGGGCAGTGTGAGGGGCTGGGAAGGTGGACTCTGCCCATGTTGTGCTAGGAGTGACTGAGTCAGCATCTGGTTTGGGACCTGACTGGGTCCCTATCAGGGTTAAGTATGGGACAGATTATGGTCAGAGAGAGGGTAGAGCATAGAGCTGGGAGGAGTGGGTCAGAATGTGAGGAAGTTGTAGAGAACTGTGGTGAAGGCTGTAGTCTGAGATGGGGCTGGGTGAGGTCAGAGATCTAGGTGGGTACTGCATTGGCTTCCACGTTGACGCTCAGATTTAGTGACTGAGCCCTGAGGATTAGGATTGGGACTGGAGTCAATGTTGAGATTAGGGTTAGGAGTAAAATCTAAGATCAGGGTTGAGCTCCGATCCAGTGAGAGTCAGGTTAAGGTTGCTCTTAGTGTTAAAGCTGAGGGTGGGTCAGGCCCAGCTGGGCAAAGTGGGGTCCTAAGCAACTCTCACCAAGTGAGGTTGCTTCCCGGCTGGGGTCCCTGGCGGACCCATGGGGGCTCAGGAAGTCTAGAAAAAGAAGAGGGGAGTCACTATTCATCCTGGCTTCCAGCCTCCCCCTGCCTCAGGAGCGCGACCACCCTCACACGCACCTGTCGTCCTGGCTGCTGGCGGGGCCATCTCTTCATCCGCGTTCTCATAAGATTCAGCTGCAGCACAAGAAAGAGAGCTCCAGGCACCCCGCCTTCCGTTAGCGGCTCGCAGAGCGCTGGGTCGGCCCAGCCTCCGAGGCCCGCGAGGCCCGCGAGGCCCGCGAGGCCCGAGTTACCGTTGGAGAAGGAGTCATCATCCGCAGGCCCCGAGGGCGCGTCCTCCGGGTTCTCGTAGCCGCTGCCATCTGGCGGAGAAGGAGGGGCGTCCAGCGAGGGCCCCTACCCCGGGGAGGCGGGGCGTGGGGAAGGCGGGGCAGCCTTACCCCGGGAGAGCCGGTCCCGCCCGAGGCTGGAGTCGTTCTCATAGAACTCGGAGCCCTCCTCGCTGTCCGGCTCCTCATAGGCCTCCCCTTCCTCCTCTTCCGGGCCTTCGAGTTGGGAAACGAGGAGGGAAACTGAGTCACGGCCCTCCTCCCTGGCCCCGCCCACCCTCTTGCACAGACGGTCGCGACACCATGTGAGGAACGAGCCCCTCCTCACCTGCAGTCGGGGGGCTCCGAGGCCCCGCGGCTCCGGCCTCCTGGACGTCACCCCGTGGATTTCCATAGGGCTGGACGGTGCCCCCCAGGGCTGCTGCCCACCGCTGCGCGCGCCCTGGCGAGAGCGGGGTTGCCAGGGAGCAGTGGGGCGGGGGTGCCGGGGAAGGGTGCCGAGGCCGGGAAGGTCCCTGTTCCTGGCCTGGAACTCTGGGGCTAGGTCTGAATCCGGGGGCGCAGCCCCACGCTCGAGGGCGAGGCTCTGCTGGGGAATCGGCTCCCGCCGGCCCTGGGGACGGGGCTCCGAGCGCCGCAGGCCTGGGCTCCGGGATTGGAGGATCGGGAGGTGGGTGGGGCTAGCGCTGGGCGGAGCTTTAGCCTGGGGGCGGGGCGTCGTCGTCAGAGGCGCTGGGGGGCTCCTACCTGTGCCCGAGGTGGGCGTGGGAAGGGACAGCACGTTTCCGTACTGGCTCTGGGTCCCTTTTCCAGGGGGAGGAGTCACTTTGAAGAATCTAGCGGGAGAAGGGGAGGTACGCCGTGAGGCTGGACCCGAAGGGAGCGAACCAACTCAAGCTTCAGTCCCTTGTGATCAACCCCTCTGAGCTGGGACAGCCTACACAGGAGTCTGGAATCATTCCGAAGAGGTCTCTTTTTTCTCTTTTGAGACAGGGCCTCACTATGTGGCTCAGGCCAGTCTTGAACCCAGTATGTACCCCAGGCTGGTCTCGAACATGCAGTGAACTCCTCCCGCCTCAGCCTCCCGAGAGCTGGGATCACAGGCGTGTGCCGCCACGCCTCGCATCCAAGATCTTGACAGAGGAGATAGCTTGGTATCGGGGCCCTGATCTTGGGCAAGGTGTCACCCCGTAGAGATCAGCGAAGGTCCCCTGGGCGGGGGAACCAGGGTTCGCAGAGCGGGGAGTGATTACCTCCTGGTGGGGTCAGTCATTCGCTTCCTTTTCCTCCTCAGGACCAGGGCTGGTGGGAGTTAAGGGGAATGATCAAGAGGCCGCTCATCGGGGTGCGGGGAGGTCACTTGGGTCAATAGAGGAGATGGCGGTTCCGATTACAGGGAGCTTGGGAAGTCTGAGGGGGGTCAGGGGAGTCGGGGCACGGGGTTGAGGGATGCAGAGGGGAGCACAGGAGGAGAGGGGAGTGACTGTCAGATGGCCAGTGTGGGCAGCCTGAGGAAAATGGAGCAAGGTATGGGCCAACCGGCCGGGGACATGACTCACCTCTTCGGATATGAAGAAAGGCCACCAGAGAACCCAGGCAGAAGGCCAGATAAGCCAAAGGCACAACTGGGATCTTCCAGCCACCATTCCTCAGCAGCCAGTGCCATGCTACTAGGGGACAGATGCCATGAGCAAGGATCCCAGACTGGCATCTTTCTCCCCAGCCCCAGGAATACCAGGGACCATTGACCTGCGATATAGTAGCAAGACACGGACTGGAAGTCCCAAGCTATGAGGACAGCTCTCCTCCCCGCCCTCAAGGAGCTGTGCCCCAGAGGCAGAAGCTGGCACAGAATGTGGGGCGGTGTCCACTGACCGAGCCGTGTGCACGGTGGCAGTGTCAGGGTGAGCCGGATGTAGCGAGGCAGTCATGGTCAGGGTGAAGGGCAGAGCTGCATGTGTAAGGGCAAGACTGGGATCCAGCACACTGCCAAGTTCGAGTTTGGCATGGAAGTTGGGGTTGAGTATGACCAGGAGTCTGGTTGGGTGTATTCAGGATTTGGCATGGGCAGGATGTTCTGACAGATTTAATGGATGGGAAAGGATGGCCAGGCTCCTAGCTTGGCAAGTGGGCAATCTTTCACTTCTGCAGAGCCACTTGGGAAAGAGATTGCGTCTGACTTTGTCTATGCTCAGCCTGAGGTCTCTGAGGCATCAAATGGTGATTCCAGGAGAGGCCTGGAGTAGTCACCAACGCATAGTGACCCAAGCAGCCACGAGAGTAAAGGAGTCAAAGGAGAGGAATGTGCAGGCCAGGATGTGATGGCCCGGGGTTTTGGCATCGAGGAGCGGGCAAGAAAGAATCCAGCAAAGCTCATGGGAAGGAGCGGCCAGAGGTGGGAGATCCAGAAAAGTCAGATCTTAGAAACAAGGAGCAAACAGCTGGAGTCGCTGTTCAGCACAGATGTTGGGTTTGGAAGTGAGGCTGGTCCCAGCCCTCAGGTTTGGGTCCCAGACTGGCTCCCCGTTCTTCCAGTGGCCCCACACAAATGCTCCCCAACGGGGACAAACTGTACCTGGCCGGGGAATGACCTTCATGTGTATCTCGGTGGTCAGGTTGCCACGGAGACAATAATAGGTACCGGAGGCCTGAACAGTGGCCTGGGACAACGACAGAACAGGCCCCAGGACCCACATCTTTTGCACTGGGGGCTTCTCCCTCAAGTAGAGGTTCAGCAATGTGGTGTTAGGCTTCTTAGGGTGCACCTGGGTCCAGGAGATGGGGCCTCTGGTCACGTGGGTGGGGGGTGCCCCACAGGACAGCCAGAGAGTGGAGCCCGGGGCCACAGTGAAGTCTGGGGCAAGGAGACACCGGTGAGGGAAGCCTGAGCCCCGGGGAGGGGTCCCATCTCCCAAGGCCCCCAATTCCGGCCCCATCCCCATCCATGAACCCCACTTCTGGCCTCTCTCAGCCCTGTCCCCTTACCCTGAGTGAGGCTCTCTTTCAGACTGCCCCTCGATGGGGCACACCCAGGCTCTGCCTCCCAGATCTCAGGGTGGCCTTTGTTCCACACATACAGCTGGGAGTTGTTGCGGTGATGAGGAGCGAGCCTGGGCCTCCCTGATGAGCCATTCCCCGGGCCACAGCTTAGGTCCCCTAAGTCTGATGCATTCCACCGGAACAGCTTCCCTGGGAAGAGACCCAGGACCGGACACAGAGACGTCAGGACGGGGAGAGATCCAGAGAGGCAGAGGGAATGAGGACAGACCCGGGCAGCCAGTGTTGAGTCGAAAAGTTGCAGGAGTCTGCTCCCCCAAACTAGCTCCTGGCTTGCCCCTTGGCCTCCAGCCTTCTCTGGCTGCTGGACAAACCCACCCCAGTCCGTGGTGGGCCTCCCCCTTCTCACCCAGCCGTGCCCTGGCCCGGCCCGGCCCTCACCGCTGCCCTCCACGCTCACTGTCCAGCCGGGCTGCCAGGCATTCTTGGAGGGGGGCCCGCGCTGGCAAAGGTAGAAGCCCCCCATCTGGTCAGAGACGTTGAAGATGAGCAGCAGGATGCCCAGAGGTCCCATCTGGACACCCAGGCCGGGGAGCCCCAGGCTCAGCTCTAAGAAGGGCGCCGACTGGTTCCCCCGAGACCAGACCAGGGGCTCAGAGCGGGCACTGGAGGGGCCCCGAAGGCACGGCAGCACGGCATCACCTCCCTCTGGGAAGGGTGGGAGAGAGAGGAGGCTTAGCCTCCCGAAGAAGCCAGCCAGCCCCACAAGGTGGGAGTCATGGGCCCTCAGAGTCCTCTCAGATCCTCCCAGGTTTCACAAATAAGAAAATGGAGGGCCAGAGAGGGTAAGTCACTCAGCTGAGGTCACCCGGGGGCCCGACTCCCCTCTCTGCCCTTCGGACATACCTTGTACCTCCACCAGCAGAGGTTTCTGGGGCCTGCCTCCCTTGGGGAAGAGGAAGAGGAGGAAGGAGAGGAGGAGAGGAGGTGGCATGGCAGCCAGGATCCTCAGGCCACCCGCTTTGCCGCGCAGGGGATGCTGGGTCAGGCTGGGGCTGGTGGGCAATGAACCGTGGGTGTCTGGGGGCGGCAGGCAGTCCCCCCGAGAGGAAGGAGGTGGTCACACCTTCGGTCCCTTGCCAGGCATCTCTACAGCCACAGAACTTGCCTCTTCCTTGCCATACTGTTTTCTTCTCCTTCACCTTCTCCTCTTTCTCCTTCTCCTCCTCCTCCTCCTTCTTCTCCTTCTCCTTCTCCTCCTCCTCTTTCTTCTTTTTCTTCTTTTGTTTTTTTGAGTCAGAGTCTCACTGTGTAGCCCAGACTGGTCTTGAACTCATAGCAATCCTCCTGCCTCCTGCCAAGTGCTAGGATCACAGGTGTGTGCCACCACACCCGGCTACACTGTTTTATTTTCATCCCAGCAGTTGCCACCATGTGGAAAAATCTGATTTGCCCGTCAGCTTGTTCTGTTTCCCGACTAGTATGTAAGCCCATTGGAGCAGCGAAGGTCCTGTTTGCCACTGTTTGTCACTGCCCTAGAACAGGCACCTCCTCCATGTCTGACAAATACCTGGTGCATGAGCGGATTCCGTTGTAGGGGCTCCCTCCTTTTGTGTGTGTGTGTGTGTTTCAAGGGGCTCCCTCCCTCTTCCCACCCCAGCTTCCCCAGGGTCAGGATCCCTTAGTGTGTGCACATGCACAGACACACAGACACACACACACACACACACCCACACACACCTTACATTTCCATCTCCATCCCCATACAATGCCCTTCAGCACATTCTGGGGTCTGGCAGACCTGAGTTTGAATCTTCTGGTCCATTACTCAGCTAATTCCTGTATCACCCAAAGCCTCAGTTTCTTTCTTTGTCCACCAGGGATAATATTAATACTGTAAATGTACTGTTTGTGAGCTGGGAGTGTCGCTCAGTGGAGAGTGCTCACCTAGCTCCTGAGCGGCCCTGAGTTCAAGCCCCATTGCTGGTTTAGCGCAGTGCACAGTGGTAAGAGGCCTTTAGATAATAACTGACAGCATCAATTAATGGTTAAGAACTCGAGCCAGACTGGATGAGTTCACGCCATGGGGGAGTCGCCTCCCCTGTAAACCAGGGTAATAAGAGCAGCTACACTATGGATCATTTTGGGCATAAACCGGCCAATGTGCAGCATGCTGGGAGGGGGTTGGACAACTGTTTGAGAGACAGAAGCCACTGTAGCTGCTTTGTAGCAGTCCTGGGAATGCAGATGAGCCAGGCACCGGGATGCATGCTGGGATCCCAGCACTGGGAGGCCGAGGCAGGAAGATCACAAGTTTGAGCCCAGCCTGGGAAACTTGGGGACTTAGATCCTATCTCAAAATAAAAAATAAAAAGGTCTAGGGGTGTAGGTTCAATCCCCAGTATCACAAAATAAAATAATGATTGAGGATTAATGTCGCTTCCTCCCCCAGGAAGCCCCTGCTTTTGTTATGGAAGCAACCTAGTTAAAAATGGGGAAATTGAGTCCCCAAGAAAGGCAATGCCCAAGATCACACATCAAGCTGGTGTTACAGTGAGCAGGAGAACCCCGAGTCCTGAGTTGCGCTGGGGGGTGGGCGTGCCGCTGCACTGCAGCTCAGCCCTATTGTGTGTGTGTGAGTGTGTGTGTGCCTTTCACTGATGGCAGGGAGAGGGCCCTGGGACCCAAGAGACCACACTGTCAGTCGTCAATTCCCAGGCCTGTCTCGCTAGGCCGCGGCTTCCTGTTTGCCCCAGCAAACCCCGGGGGACCCTTACAGGTGGCCTGGCCCCCACTTCCCTTTATCTGGGTTGAGGGCCCTGGGAGGTGAAGAGTGCACTAGGGAATGGAGACAGAGTGGCCGGATCCCACTTGCTTTTCACTCAGATCCCCTGCCTTAGCTCCACAGCTGCCCAGTCTAGCTCCGACCAGAGCACAGCAGCCCCTGCCTATCTTAAAACAAGGCAATGGCTTCTCAGCTACTTAAAATAAAACTCCAAACCATGGCCTCCAGAGGCCGGAGTGATGCCACATTTTCCACCCGCCTCTCCACCACTCTCCTTCTCAACATGTGGAGCGAGTCCCACCCCAGGGCCTTTGCCTCTATGGCCTTACTGCTTGAGCAGCCCAGCAGCAAGTCAAATGTCACTTCCTCATAGACCATCTCTTTTCGGAGTCCCCAGGTACTTTTTTGATCCCACATCCTTGTTTAGTTTCCTCCCTAGCACTTGCCCCAGCCTCAGATTGTGCTTGTTAGTCTTCTCATCAACGTTCTGCCCCAGCCTATTCAGTCTTTAACAGCAAGGGTCTTCTCTGACCCCAGATGGACCCTGGCATCCAGTAGGTGCTCATTAAGTGCTTGTTGTGTAAAAAATTCGGAAACATGAAACTTTCCAGAATACGCTCTGAGTTACTAATGATAGTACATTTTATATCCAAAGGTTTTCTAGAATTTTCTCCTCTCTTATTTCACAATCAGAACTAGTTCACCAGCCTCTATCCTGGGGCCCCTGTCCCTTAAGTACCCACCTATACTCCACATATCAAGAAAGCTTCTTTTTCTGGGGATGGTGATATACTGCTGTAATCCCAGGAGGCTGAGACAGGATGCTCTCAAATTCCACTTCAGCCTGGGCAACTTAGCAATTTAGCAAGAGCCTGTCTCAAAAAACAGTTTTTTTTTTTTTGGTACCGGGGATCGAACTCAGGTCCTTCTGCTTGTGAGGCAGGTGGTGGAACCACTGAGCTAAATCCCTGGCCCAACAATTTTTTTTTAAGAGGGCTGGGATATAGCTCAGTATGAAGGGCCTGGGTTCAGTCCCAGTAGCAGAGAAGGAAAGAAAGAAAGAATGAGAGAAAGAAAGAAAAAGAAGAGGGGGAGAAAGAGGAGGCTTCTTTGTGAGTGCACACACACACACACACACACACACAAGATAGAGCTGAGCTGGTGCAGTGGCACACACTTGTAATCCCAGCACTTTGAAAGGATGCAGCAGGAGGATCACAAGTTTGAGTCCTGCCTGAGCAACTTGGCAAGACCCTGTCTCAAAATAAATAAATGATAATAATAATAATGACAGTAAAAATAAAAAGGGCTGAGGATGTTGATCAGTGTGAACCCCCTGGGTTCAATCTCCAGTACCACAAAGCAAATAAATAAATAAATAAACAAATATGTTTTTAAAATTCAGAGCTCCTACCTCATGTCCTGTTTTATTTTTAAAATGTTTTGCAGCAGAATGCCCAACTTAGAACATAACTGCTAATATTTGGTTGAGCAAAAGAGGAGCTAGTTCCTAAGTACATGAGAGATGTGATTGTTTCCAATAAATATTTAAACACAACTTAGTCCTTCAAGCATCTGGACTGTAGGTCTACAAGGGGGCCCTGCCTCATAACTATGTCGTGATCCCCCCTAGTCATAGTTAACATGGAATCAGTGCCTCAGTGATCAGCATAATCACACCACCTCTCTTCGAAGCCCTCCTCTTCAGGACAATGACAACTGGAATTTCTTGAATGTCAGTGGTAAGCAATAGTTGGGGATTTAGCTCAGTGGCACCGGCCTGCCTCACAAGCCCAAGATCCTAAATTCCATGGGGGGGTAGTGGAGTATTCTTCATGATTCTTTTGGCCCCCAAGGAAATCTCCTTTACTAGTCACGTGCTTCCCTTGCTCAACAGTCTTCAATGGCTCTCAAGCACATCCCAACCAGGGCTAGTGCGCTGCGTGCGGCCCTGAACCGCTAAGGATTCGGCCCCACATGATTGCCAACATTTAACATAATTATGATTTTTAGCAATATTCTTCTTGACTTCAATTGCTTGAGTGAGGACTATAGTCAAAGACAAAATGGTGTTTAGAGGAGGGTTTGGTGCAGTGCCACACACAGTTTAAGGGACCCCTATGTGTATGAGATGTTACATGCGCTTGTGCAACTCAGGGAGTATAAAACAATGAGTACCAATAACATCCCAAGCTACCGCCAGTGTGTGTGCCTGTGGACACAGGTATTTGTCTTTATTAGGCAGACGTGTAAGTTACCTTAATTTTTCTTTTTTTTTTAGTACTGGGGATCGAACTTGGGTCCTTGTGCTTGCGAGGCAGGTGGCAGAACCACTGAGCTAAATCCCCAGTCCCTCCTTATTTAATTATTAAACTTGGGCTTGCATTATTTCATAAACTAATTTAATAAATTATAATAAAAGAGGAAGTTTTATTATTTTATATGTGGCCCAAGGTAATTCCTCTTCTGCTTAAGGAGGCCCAGGCCAACCTAAAGACTAGATACCCAGGGCCACAGGATGACAGCTCAGAGCAACAACTGCCAGGCAGGCACTCATCAACCTCACCGGAGCCTTGTAGCACGTCGCCATGTCAGTGTCTCCTCTGGAGGCCCTGTCACATACACCAGAAATAGAGGCTTAACTCTGAGGGCAAGAAGTTATTGGGGAAATTATTTTATATTATTATTACTATTTGTGGTACTGGGATCAAACTCAGGACCTTGCACTTTCAAGGCTGGCACCATGCCACTGAGCTAAATCACTGACCCCAGCCCTTTTTTATTTTTGAGACAGGGTCTCATTAAGTCCCCAAGATGCCCAGGATAGGCTCAAGCTGGTGATCCTACTGCCTCAGCTTCTGAGTGTTTGATTACAGGCATCTTCCACCACACCCAGCTTATATTACTCTCCCTGTGTTCTGGAAAATCATGGAAAGAAAATACACGGAGACACAGAATTTGGGTAAAGTAATAAAAGTTTACTTGCAAGCAGGCAGGACCGCCAGAAACTGATCTGGTCAGTATCCACTGGGTTGTTAATCTCTTCTTTTTATACCTTTGTTAGTCACTATCTCATCCCTAGTGGTCTTTGATGTGTAAATGCAATTCTGGTTCCTATTTACAAGTCACAGACAAGGTAAGCACATATACATTGTAAATTCACCGAGGCATTGCAACTTTGTTAGGTTAAAATGTTATCTATAACGAAGTTACTAGTTAAAGAGTCAAATAGCCCACACTTTCAACAACAAGAGTTACAGGAAAAGCAAATCTTAAAGGAATACATTATTTATTTTGCTTCTGCAACTACTTTAATAGTTAATGTACTAAGCAGTCTAAAACTTTCCCCCCATCACTTGTGGCTTTCATTTGCACTTCTCTAATGGCTAATGTCAAACATCTTTTCATAGGAACATTTGCCTCTTGTGACATCAGTGAAGTGTCTATTCCTATTCTTTGCCCATTTTATTTCTTTTTTGTTTTCGTTTTTTTAAAGAGGCATGAGAAGGATTTATTAGAGGTTTAGGAAGCACTCAAGGGTGGGTGCTCAAAGAAATGAGGCACCCCTTTGGCCGTTTTCAGACTGAATAGCTAGAAGATTTTAAACAGCCGTGAGTCATGGTATCTGTTGTACAAAGATTGCTCCAGCTGCTTGGAGGAGAAATAAGGGTCCTGAGTCCCAGTGATGCCGACTGTGTGTGTTTTTGTGCTTTTAGGAGTTAAAAGCACCTTAACCCAGGAACAAGGCTTTGATCCTTACTTCAGGCACAGGGCTGAGGCTACGCGGAGCAGGACCCCAGGCTGGGCCCAACAAAGGACGGGAGGTAGGCAGGTCCGCCTTCCCCTTTGAGCTCCTGCAGGGCCAGGGTTTTAGCTAAGCCTGCACTCATCTTGCTTCTCTCCTCACGCTAAGCACGTCTCCTTCCCACTTCAGTCTCCACCTTCGGTTTGATTTTCCTACGCTAATAAAGCAAAATAACCACTGGTTACTTCAGTTGCCACTGTTTGTTCCTGCCCATCAGGAATTTGCCCCTTGGCACTTGGGAAAGTTCTCCGGGGCAGGGCAGATGGCTCCCCTGCTTCGCTGGGTTTAATCTTGCTGATCTCGGTGTTTGGGCTCTGGGCTTTGGTGCTGAACTGACCACACAGTCTCTGAAGGCTGAACTGACTTCCCTTCTTTTGCTGTCTTCAGATGTGCTCTTGTAATTTTAGAGCTTTGAAGACTGGTCTGTTTTCAGCTCCTAATTTTCCTGTGTGTCTGTTAATAGACTGAGCCCGGTGAGCTGTTGGGGGGCGCGAGACTGGGGGTGGGGGGCAGAGACAGACAGGCGGACAGACGTCGCCGAAGTTGTGTCTGCAGGACTCCCAAGGAGCCGCAAAATCAGAGCCTTTCGGTTTCCTGGAGGGTTTTCTCTCCGTGAACGGCTTTGGGGGAAGGGGAATCAAGGCTCTGGACTCAGAACTGTCCGTCAGGGACTGAGGGAGAGGCCACAGATAATGGGAGTTCGGGCCAGACTGCGAGGAGAGGGAGATTCGGGGCTCCGGGAGGGGAGCGGGACTAGCAGAGAGCGGCCTCGACGGAGTGGTGTGACGTGACGTGGAAGACGCGCGGGGACTCAGAGGCGCCCAGAAAAGTGAGGCCGACCCAGCCCTGCCCCGGGGCCCAGGAGGGCGGGGGCGCAGAGGGCCCGTCCCAAAGTCGCCAAACGTGAGCCGGGCGGGCGGAAGGGCGGGCGATCGCAGGCGGACTCCGTGGCCGGGACACGCGGGGGCAGACGCTTCGTCCTCGGCGTCCCAGGAGGGGCAGCCAGAGCAGAGCGTCCCGGGACGCAGAGACGTAAGAACGGTCCTCGGAGAAAAAGAACCGCAGGCCTCCGAGGAGACGGCGTCCTCGGGAGCCGCGCCGCCCAGCCGAGGGGCGGGCCCGCCGGTGTCCGCTCGGAAACCTGCGGCCGACGCTCCCCAGTCCCCCAAGCCTCGGGCCTCAGCAGCCCGCCCGGGCCTATCCGGAAACAGCCGAGCGGATCCGGAAACTGCCGACAGGACCCGGAAGCGGTGAGAGCCGTCACCAGGGAGTGCAGGAATCCGCCGTTTGCGCAGAAGTGATGGCTGCAACTGCGCCCGCGGCCGCAGGCGAGGACGGGCGGCTGAGACGACCCGGTACGTGAGGGCGCGTCCATGCACGCGGGACGCGGGGAGCGGTGGGCCGGAGGCGGGGCGAGCCCAGCAGCCCGCAGGTTGGGGGTGAAGGGAGACAGGGAAGGGGCGGGCCGTGCAGCTGGGAAAGGGGGTGGGACCTGGAATGGGGGGGGGGAGCGGGTCTGATGGTTCAAGGGGTGGGGCCAGTGGCAGGGGAGAGTGGGCGGGACGATGAAGAGTGGAGTCTATGGGAAGGCGGGGTCGGGCGGGCTGTGGGGCGGGGCCAGGTGAGCGGGGCGGGGCCGAGTGCAGGTGGGACTGCAGTCTGGTAGGTTGCGGCACCTGCTGATCTGGTAGGTGGCCTGGGGTGTAGGGAATTGAAGAAGTGATGGGAAGAGAGACAGACTCCCGTTCCCGCAGCGCTGGACTGCCACCCCCAGGAGGGGGCAAAGGTGGAGGCCGAGTCAGGTGAGCTGGGCCGGCTGCGGGCTGAGCTGGCAGGCGCCCTGGCAGAAATGGAGACCATGAAGGCTGTGGCGGAGGTGAGCGAGAGCACGAAGGCCGAGGCTGTGGCTGCAGTGCAGCGGCAGTGCCAAGAGGAGGTGGCCTCACTGCAGGCCATCCTAAAAGGTGAGGGAACCTCCCCCAGACTCCCCTTCAGCCCTTCAGGGGAGCGCAGGACAGAAAAGGCATCAGGTAGCGGTGGGGAGGTTAGCAGGGCTGCCTGGCAAGGCGTGCCCATACCCAGAGTTGGGGGCCCCTTTCCTAACTTGCATAGAGCCCCACATGTGACTGCAGCAGCTCTGCCAGTCACAGCTAAGTTTAGCTCCCTTGCTCTCTCTGTTTCCTTGCCCTCTGGCATTTCTTCTTCCTCACCAATGCCTGATCAACCCTGAAGGAGAACAAGAAACTTCTCAGTTCCCCCAAAGCAGCCTCGTTTTAGTCTGGGCCTCTGGGCCTCTGGGCCTCTGCGCAGCCCATGAGCCCAATCTGGTTTCCTTCCTCCCTGCCCCCCCATCCCTGGACACCCCCACACTAATCACCATCCTCCGCCTCAGGGGAGGACTAGCTCCCTGGGCTCCAGATCCCAGCTTCTTTTCCTGTTTCCTATTCCCCTCCCCTGTCAGAGGCCAGAGTCTCCGAAACAGATGGCAAACTGGTGCCCACCCCCTCCCCGGCTGCAGGTGATCAGCACTCACCTGGATGTCCACCTAACCCTGCAGATCTGGCCCTGTGGTCTGGGCTGCACACGCTTCCAGAGTGAACTGCCGAAAATTCCCATCCCACCATGCCTTTTCCCTGTCTAACTGCGGCCGGCTCCAGACATCTCTGGGGTTGTTTCCCACACCTCAGGCATCCACATTACCTACATGATGCAGCTGTATCTCTGTTCAATTTACCCTGTGAAAAACTAAAATTTAAAAAGTCCCTGGTCCACTCAACATCATCGCCACCTGCTGCTGTTCTATAGGATAAATTCCACACCACACGGTATGGTGCTGAAGGCCTGAGGCACAGTGCCAGCTTCTCCACCTTCGTTCAGGCTCTTCTGACAGCACTGTCCCTAGGCACGCCAGCCCCTCCCTCACCTCTGAGCCTCTGTGTGTGCTGGTCCTGTTGCCTCATGAGCCTTTTTCCTTCCTCGGGGATCCGTGGGCCCTGGAGTGGTCCTGGCCTGCAGCTCCCCCGACCCTGCACCCTGTCTTCATGGCTGCCTTCCCCACTGGACTGCAGTCCCAGTGGCAAGCTTTGTCTTTGAGCAGTCCCTGCATTGCCAGAACCGAGAGTCAGTGCTTACTACTGTTAATACATACTGGTTGTTAGCAGTGTATGTGAATAGAGAGCGTGCCTTCAGGGTTTAGTATGGAGTAATCGGGAAGTTTGTCTCTGTGTATCAGATACTCCAGATAATCTCATCCATTCTTCCTCTGAACAGTTTCCTCTGCAGAAGTCACAGAGAAAGTGACAATGGCTACAAAAGGAATTTGGACCATACTGTGGTCCATGTCTACTATTTCTCTCTCTCCCTCTCTCTGTCTCTCACTCTCATTCCCTCTCTCTTCTCTCTCTCTCCCTCTGTACAGTATCTGTATCTGTCTTTCTTTCTTTCTATCTTTCTTGTGGTGTGGGGGATTAATCCCAGGGAGTGCTGAGCTCTGTCCTCAACCCTTTTATTATTTTGAGACTGGGTCTCGCTATGCAGTGCAGGCTGGCCTTGAACTCATGGCAGTCCTCCTGCCTCAGCCTCTTGGGTGCCACCACACCTGGCTGGAGGTCTACATTTGTATCATGAAGTGTGCCAGCATTACATCTGATGCAGTTTGCTTTTCCAGGTTATTATGTGCTAGTCTGGTCCTGTTTTAGCCACAAAATCAAGTGACACTGTGCCTGTTCTCCAAGGGGGAAAGGCTTTTGGTGTGCTCAGTGCTGCCCTTGGCCAACTGTCAGTACTTGGGAGTTGCTGGCAATTTGGCATTCTGCCCAGACTTTGCTTCTTGACTTGCAAGGCATAATTCATTCTGGTTCTGTTATTCACTGGCTCTCGCACTGTCCATCAGAGCATTTGGGCCCTTTGTGGTGTCCTGCAAGCCCAGGTTGACTGTTGTGATCCCAGCTTCTATGTCGAGTCACCCCTTGATGATATGTGGGACTTGTATTTTGGCTGAGTTCCTGTGGTTTGATTAATTTGGAAACAGTGTTTTAATTACCTTTCACTATGTATGGGAACAGTTTCCTACTAACTAAAATGATGTGAGCCAGGCATGCTCACGAACACCTGTAATCCCAGCTACTCAGGAGGCTGAGGCAGGAGAATCACCAGAACAAGACCAGCCTGGGCAACTTAGCAAGACCTTATCTCAAATATTAATTAATTAATTAATTAATGTTTTGATAATATTAATAATTAATGTCTTGACTTTTAGTTTTAGCCTGTTTTAGTATAAATACCCAGGGGCCAAGTCTTCATTTGAATACATCTGGGAGGCAGAATGTCCAGTGGGGCCTTCTCATGTCTGAGGAGGGCCGAACACCTCAGCTGACGTCCTCTCACTGGTCCAGTGACCAGCCGGGGGTCGGTAGCATCCTGTCTCCCAGCCATGGCAAGACAATGAACAGAGAGCCCTGTAGTACCCTCCCGGAGCCCTTGCAGGCAGGCAGCACTCACGGCCCGCCCTTCCTGCTCCCAGACTCCATCAGCAGCTATGAGGCCCAGCTCTCAGCCCTGAAGCAGGAGCGGCAGCAGCAGCAGCAGGACTGTGAGGAGAAGCAGTGGGAGCTGAGCCGCCTGCAGCAGCTGCTGGCCCGGGCCCACCCCCGGGACTCCCTGGAGAAGGAGATGGAAAAGGTAGGGCCTGGAGTGGCATGGTCTGTTGGCGGCCCCTTCCCAGCCACGGGCTGCAGGACACTACGTAGCCACTGCACTTGGCAAGGTCCCCAAGCAGCCCTTGCCCCAGGGGTGTGACCAAGTCCATTTCACCCCCCAGCGAGGTCAGTCACGTGGGGGCCACACCCAGTGTTCTTGTGCGCCAGGCACTGTGCTGAGCGCTTGGTGGACCCCACGCCGGCCTTTGCCCTGTGTGGCTGGGCTAGCAGGGCATTGAACAGACAGCTGTGGTGAGACTCAGGTTCTCTCGGGTCGTGAGCTGGGGGTGGAGACACTCGCCTGTGATCCCAGCACTCAAGAGGCTGAGTCGGGAGACAGTGGTGATGGGTGACCTAGGGCTTCCACCCTGAGCACCTGGTGGGTTTGGGGCGTCCTGCTGCCCCGGCACTGGAGACAGGAGGAACAGGGTCTGTGAGGAGGTTCCATTTTGGCTGTGTTAGGCTAGAGGAGCCAGGTGGAGGTGTCCAGAAGCTGTTGGTTCTACCCATTCGGCAGGAGCCTAAGCCTGGGATGATGGAAATGGCCAGCCTCGTGGTTGAGATGGGAGTGTGGAAGGACGTACCAGTCAGGATGAGATTGGCTGGATGTGCTTGAAAACCCATATTAGCAGTGGATTAAATATGATGAAAGTTTATTTTTCTTAATGCCAACACTGCTACAGCAGGTCAACAAGTCATTAGGAACCCAGGCTCCTCCTATATATTGCTGTTTTGCCATAGGTAGCAGATTGCCTCATGGTCCAAGATGACTGCTTGAGTGCCACCCATCATATCCACATTCCAGCCAGCAAAGAGGGAGTAAAGCCAGGCACATCCTCTTCCTTTATGGAGTTATCCTGGAGGTTCACACGTTGCACATCTGCTTATGTGACATTACCTGGAACTGAGTTGTATAATTCTGTTTAGTTGCAGGGAAGCTGAGAAACGAAAATGATGTTGTACAATTTAGGCTAAGTGGGGGCTGAGGATTTAGGTCAGTGGCACCGTGGCTGCCTCTTGAGTGCAAGGGCCTGAGTCCGATCCCCGGTATGTGCGGTTCTGGGATGAAAAGCACAGATGTCAGGGAAGAAAGGTGTGGCGGGAAAGCAGGGGCCACGGGAAGAAAGCTGTGACCCGGACCCTGCCAGTGCTGCGTCCTGGGAGCCTCTGTCCTCTATCCTGAAACGGGGCAGATGGCACCTCCGGGAGTGCGCACAGCCCCAGCAGCCCGGGTGCCCGCCGGGAGGGGACACTCACTGCCCACCCTCCCTCCAGGCCCACGAGGATGCGGAGAAGCTGCGGGAGATTGTGGTGCCCATGGAGCAGGAGATCACAGAGCTCAAGGCCAAGCTGCTGAGGGCGGAGGCGCTGATCCTGGAGACCCAGGTGAGGGGCCTGGCGCCCGGTGAGGTTGAGGGTAAGGGCGCGGCACTGAGGACCCTGCCCAGCCTCTTCTCCCGCCCTTCTGCAGGGACGGCCCACGCTGGGCTCCTCAGAGTTGCTGCCGCCGGCCTGGAACCCATCTCCCCCACTGGAGCCCCTGGAGGAGCCAAGCGGGGGCCCTGCGGCCGAGGCCTTTGCCCACAACTGTGACGACAGCGCCTCCATCTCCTCCTTCTCCCTGGGTGGCTGTGCGGGCAGCAGTGCCTCCCTGCCCCGCGGCCGTCGGGGCCTGAGCCCTGAGCAGGAAGAGACGGCCTCCCTGGTGTCCACTGGGACCCTAGTCCCTGAGGGCATCTACCTGCCACCTCCCGGGTACCAGCTGATCCCGGACACCCAGTGGGACCAGCTGCAGGTGGAGGTGCGTGGGCGAGGGCAGCTGCCAGCAACAGGCCTCCTAACCTGCCGGCCTGGAATGGAGCTAGGCTGGGGTGCTCTTGGCGCCAGGGAGAGGCCTGCTTGTCCTAGACCTGGGCAGCCCACTGGGGCCTCTGTGGAAAGACAGGCTGGGGCAGGCAGGAGAGTATGGGAGAAACTGAGTGACCTGCTGGGACTGCAGCACAGAAGGTCACCCAGCACTCTGGGAGGTAGAGTGGATCGCAAGTTTGAGACCGGCCTAGGCAACTTAGCAACTTAGTGAAACCCTGTCTCAAAATAGAAAAGTAAAAAATGGTTCGGGGGATGTAGCTCAGGGTGGAGGCCCTGGCTTCCAGCCCTAGTACTACGCCAAAAGGAGAGAGAGAGGGCAGAGTCTCGACCAGGAGGTGGCAGCAGAGACGGAAGGAGGCAGGTGGATTTGGATTCTGCTTGGAGGAAGGTAGGGGGAGGGAAGAGAGCCTGACCGCTCTCTGCTGGCCAAGGGTGTGCTCGGGTGTGGCGCAGCCAGGCCTGCAGAGTGGGGAAGCCTTGGCTGTGACTGAGCTTGGGTCTGCGGCAGGGCCGGCAGCTGCGGAGGGACCTGGACAGCGTCAGCCAGGAGCGGGATGAGCTGCAGGAGGGCCTGCGGCGGAGCAACGAGGACTGTGCCAAGCAGGTGGGTCCGGGCCTCTGCCAGGCCTGCAGGGCCGCCCAGTGCCCCTGGCCTCACCGCACCTGCTGTCCTCCCTCAGATGCAGGTGCTGCTGGCCCAGGTCCAGAACTCAGAGCAGCTGCTTCGGACACTGCAGAGCACCGTGAGCCAGGCCCAGGAGCATGTGCAGCTCCAGATGGTGAGTGCTGGAGTGCGGGCAGAGGGAGTCGGGACTGGTGGGGACCCCTGGAAAGTCAGGTACCTTTCCTGCCCCCACTGCTCTGGCCTCCCCTGGGATCAGTCCCAGATAGGTAAAGGGTTCTGGGTAGCCAGGCCAGGCCGGGCCGGAGCTGTGTGATCTTGAACTAACCCTACAACCTCAGAACTTGGACTGGCTGTCTGTGAAACTGACGTGGGTCCCAGTGTGCAGAATCCTCACGACCGAAAGCGAGTCAGACACGTCCCAAGGCTGGGCAAGAGAGCCACACGATGGGGTGGGCCAGGTGTGAAGCAGGAAGGAGCAGAAGGCACCAGAGGCCTGTGCCACGGCTGCCACCCTCAGCCACCCAGGAACACTGCCTCCATGCACTAGACAGTCTGGCTTTTCTTTTCGTTTGTTTGGGTCTTGGTTTTTGTTTTTGAGGCAGGGTCTCCCTGTGTAGCCCAGGCTGGCCTGGACCTTGCAGCAATCTTCCTTCCTCAGCTGGGATTGCAGGTGTGTGCCACCACGCCCACTCAGGTAGTCTGACTTTTCAAGGGAATCCAGAAGTCCCTAGGCATGATGGCACATTCCTGCAGTTTCACCACTCAGGAGGGTTGCCACAAGTTTGAAGCCAGCCTGGGCTACATAGTGAAGCTTTGTCCCAAAAAACTAAAAACAAAGGACCATGGATATAGCTCATTGATGCAATGCCTGCCTGGCAAGCGTGAGGACCTGAGTTTGATTCCTGGTACCAAACAAAACAAAGTGCAGGGGCCAGGGATTTAGCTCAGTGGTTCCGCCGCCTGCTGTGCAAGTGCAAGGACCCGAGTTCAATTCCTGGTACCAAAAAAAAAAACCCACAAAGTGCAAAAAACACCCACCAAAGTGCCCAGGCTCAGATGATGATGCAGGCCTGTAATCCCAGCTGCTTAGGAAGCTGAGGCAGTAGGACCTCAAGTTCAAGGCCAGCCTGGGCAATTTAGGTTTTTTGTTTTTGTTTTTGTTTTTGTTTTGGGTACAGGGGCTCGAACTCAGGACCTTGCTAAATCCCTGGCCCAGCCTGGGCAATTTAGGAAGATCTCGTCTCAAAATAAAGGACTGGAAAAAAAAAGGCTGGAGATTCAGCTCAGTGCTAGAGCTCTTGGGTAGCACTCATGAGGCCCTGGGCTCAATCCCTAGTACCGCAATTAATAAATTAACTAATTGATTAATTAGTTTTTAAAAGTATATGGACCAAATACCCAGCGTGGCTCTGGCTGCCTGCATGTGACCTGAGTCGGCGAGGAGGCTGTTTAGAGCTGAAGACAGATAGGCAGCAGAGGCCCTCTGCCCAGCTCAGCAGCCTGGCTGTGGGCTTGCTGGCTGTCCATCTGGAAGGGGACTGCAGGCATCCTGTCCTCTCCTTGCTTGGTGCCGCTTCTGTCCACAGGCAGAGCTTTCTACCTCCCACAAGTGCCTGCACCATGAGGTGAAGCGGCTGACTGAGGAAAACCAAGGGCTCCGAGCTGAGCAGCCGCTGGCAGTCCCGGCAGTCCCGCAGGGCCAGGAGCAGCAGGCGGGCGAGGAGGAGGCGGCGCTGCCTGGCTCGGTGCAGGTGAGCGGATGTGGGCCGCCCTGGGCGTCCTTCCCTCCACATGGCGGGGCATGGGCCGGGACCACAGGCTGGGGGACCCAGCTGCCACGAGAATGAGATCGTACATCTTTCCAGCGGTGGCATGGCAGAAAAACTTAACAGAACGCCTGATCCAAGGAAGCAGTGGTTTGCTTGCTATTTTTCAGTGACACGAGAGCTTTAAGATTTAATACATCGTAATGTTTGGTTCCTAACAAGCCGTCTTCATTGATCTATTCGTGGCCTTTGTTGATTTATTAAAAGTATAAAGTTCCCTGGGGCCCTGCCCTCCCTGAGGATGACAACTTACATCTGCGGTACTTCTGCACATCTTCGGCTGATGGACCTCCTTGCTCTTCTCTCGGATGGTTTTCATTCTGTCCTTAACATAGTTGTTTCGGCCCTTGCTCTAGGTCACCTTCTGGAGCCTTCTGAGGGTCCCCACCCTGAGGCGGTGCGGCTATGATGCATTCAGCTCCACTGCTGAGCCGCAGCGGGTTTATCTGTCCCCCCATGTCATCCGGGCCTTCCTCATGTTGGCAGTTTCCTTCCCTCCCACAGTCCCCACTGGCCCCTGCCCTCCTGCTCCTTGTCCCATGTCCAGTGGCCGACTTGCACCTTTCCTAGGAGCTGCAGCAGCTGGTGCGCCACACGCGGCAGGAGGCACACGCCCGACAGCAGGCCTGGGAGCACGAGGCCGAGCGCCTGCGCATCGAGATTGTGACCCTGCGGGAGGCACTGGAGGAGGAGACTGCGGCCAGAGCCAGCCTGGAGGGGCAGCTTCGAGCACAGCGGGAGGAGACAGGTGAGGGGAGAGGGAGGAGATGCGCCTCCTGGCCGCTCCCAGGGTGCCTGATGACCCCACAGGGGCACTGCGAGGACTAGCTGTGGCCTCTCTCCTTCTCCCTGCAGAGGTGCTAGAGGGTGAGTAGGGGCCCGCCCTGCCTGGGCCTGCCGGTGGGGCTTGCAGCTGAGTGGGCCTGACTTCCGGCCCCTTGCACCTGACTTCCCAGCCTCCCTCTGCAGCCTGAGGACGGAGATGGAGCGGATCCAGCAGGAACAGAGCAAGGTGAGGTGGCACCCAGCCCCAGCTGGGATGGCCGAGGGCCAGTGGCTGTGGGAAGACCCTAGCCAGCCACGCCTACCTCCCTGTCTCCCACGGCCGGGTGGCAGGAAGGCCTGAGGCCAACCCCCAGGCTTTAGCCAGACATCCTGTCCCGCAGGACCAGCTCACGGATCTCCTGGCCGAGCAGAGGGCCAAGGTGCTTCGGCTGCAGGCCGAGCTGGAGATCAGCGAGCAGGTGCAAAGGGATTTTGTCCGGCTGTCCCAAGCCCTGCAGGTATGTCACAGCCCCTACAGGCCAGCGTGCTCCACCTGATGCTTGTGCAAGGATAGCCCCCCAGTTAGGGGGTTCCTTTCTTTCCTTCTCCAGTTAGCGTGGCCCTTCCCCCAGGCTCTGGCCCCAGCAAGGTCAGAGCTCTTTAGTGTGCATCTTGGATGGTCCCATACCGGCTTAGGGCAGGCCTGCCCCTGGCCAGCGCACCCAGACCGGCCCAGGGCATGCTCCTGCAATCCATTCCCGCCCTTGGCCCTGATTTCCCGTGGGTGGGTGGGAAGAAGGGGGCCCTGGAGCCTGCCCTCGGGGCCGCCGGCTGGGGTAGGGGCACCTTTCCCCACCAGGGGCCCTCTGCATTTCTCTTGGGACCCCACAGGTGCGCCTGGAGCGGGTCCGCCAGGCAGAGACCCTGGAGCAAGTGCGAAGCTTCGTGGATGAGGCGCCCCTGAGGGACATCAGGGACATCAAGGACACCTGAGGGGTCTGGCGAGGAGCCCACCCCTCCCATCCCCTGGGCAGCGCTGCCGTTCTGCACTGCAGAGCCAGGAGACGAGGTCCTAGGATGGCATCCTCATCCTCCAAGCCGTTTGAGGGGCCAGGGCCACCACTGCCCGGCCTCCTCCCGGGTGGCTGGGGCTCCTGCTCTCAGGGACAACACCTGGGTGAGGGTCCCAGCCCCCTAGAACCAAAGGTGCAGGTTGACCTGTGGCTCTCTAGCTGCTGCTGCCCCAGCCCAGCCCCCTTGCCCCAGCAGCAGCAGCTGCTGCACTGGCGTCCCCAGGCACCCTGAGCTCGCGGTGGTGGCTGGAAGCTGCAGTGAACATCTGCAGGTCCCTGAGCGCCCCGAGACAGCAGCTGCTCTCCACACTGCCTGACACTGAGACACGCGGCAGCGAGGCCAGCCTTCTCCGTCGTTTATTTTCAATAAATACGCAGCTCGGCTCAGTCGCCTTGTCCCTGCAAGCCCCGTGGGGTCTGGGGAGCATGGTTACAGGGTGGGGTGCGGAGTGGGGCGGGGAGGGAGGGGACCCCATATTTATAAACAAACGTGCGGGTGAGGGAGGGGTCTGTGCCACAGCTCTGGCTGAAGATGCGTCGCTATCAGGGTGGGAAGAAGGGGCAAAGGGCTGGTTACTTCCTTCTCTCATCTTCCGGATCTGGAAGGAGAAAGGCACAGGATGAGGCGGGGGCAGGAGGGGCAGGAGATGGCCCCTTCCTCCCCGCACTCATCTGTGACCCCAGCCCAGCAGCAGACAGCCAGCGCCAGCCAGCACCACGCAGCGCAGCAGTTGTGCCCAGAGGCAGTGCCACCAGGGTGAGAGGATCGCGCAGCGGTGCTGGCGCCTAGGCGAGGGCACAGGCCGCCCATGGAAGTGCGGCAGGGGCAGTGGCAGTGGCTCCAGGTGGAGCTGCGAGCGCGAGCGCAGTGACTTGAGCGGCACAGCAGCCAGGCGGTGATACCTGTGACACGGGCTCAAGGGCATGCAGGAGGGCGGCTACCCTGTGGCCAGAGAGGACAGAGAGCCGTCACCAAGGAGGAAGGCGGCCTGCAGGGCCGGGAAGGCCGAGGAGGCTGGGTCCACCGGGGAACATGGCCACCAAGGCCAGTGGGAGTGGGAAGGGGCTGGGGCCACCCTCCCGGGGAACCTCGTCCTGCCAGGGCCAGGAACCTGCAAAGGAAGAGGGTGGGCGCAGGGCTGCAGGGGAGGGCCACGCCTCACCCTCCAGGTAGTTCCGGGCAACGAATTTGAGGATTTCGTCTAGCCCGATAACAGGGAGGGAGATCTTGAGGACCATGAGCCACTGCGTGACGGTCAGGGGCTGCAGCTTGAAGATCATCTGGGGGCGGGGGAACAGCAGCCATGAGGAAGGACGAGGCAGGGGGAGCCAGGTTCCCGGCTGCCCTGGCCCCATACCACGTTCCCGGGCAGCACCCCACACAGGCTCACCGGCAGAGGGTCGACATAGAGGATGAGGAAGTGGAGAGACATGGATAGGCAGATGGAGCCCAGCAGCCAGACGTTCACCCAGGGCGGCATCCGCACCAGGGACTGGTTTTCAGACAGGCTGCCATGAAGGCCAGGGGCACCGAAGGAGGGGCACACGAGGAGAAAACCACGTGAGGGCAGGAGGGAGCGGAAGGTCAAGGACAAAGGCAAAAGCCTCTGAGGAGACAGCAGGGCGCAGGCGGGCAGGCCCTACCTGTTGAGAGCGTTGCACATCTCAATGGTGACCAGCACAGACAAGGCCATGGTCATAGGCTCGGGGGCCTCAAAAACCTCACAGTCCAGACCCCCAAACTCAGCATTGTGCTCGGTGCACTGCATGAAGTGCGTCTACAGGGGAAAGAACCAGAGCCTGAGATCCTGCAGACAGCTCCACGCCACCCACCTGGCGCCCACCTCCCCAGCCTCCTACCAGCTGGTAGTAGGAGACGTGAGGTCCATCATCTGCATACAAGAACCACCAGGCAGCTGCTCCCACGGTGGCTGCACCCACGTAACCTGTGGTGGAGAGAAGGTGGGAGTCGGGACCAGGGCTGGGGTGAGCGGAGGCCTCAGGGTGACCTCACAGCTGGGCTCAGCAGGCTCAGGAAGGGGCCTTGGGGCAGCTTCGCTGGGGGAGCCAGAGTCCTGGGGAAGGGGTCAGCTCCAAGGCCTGGGAGGGACCATGGAGCCCCATCCTGCTCACCGCCGATGGCCATGTAGCGGAAGAAGAGCCAGCCGCTGATGAGGGGCTCCTTGGGACTCCGGGGTGGCCGGTCCATGATGTCCAGGTCTGGGGGGTTGAAGCCCAGGGCTGTGGCCGGGAGCCCATCAGTCACCAAGTTCACCCACAGCAGCTGCACTGGGATCAGGGCCTCAGGCAGCCCCAAGGCAGCTGTCAGGAAGATGCTGCCAGAAGGAGAATCCCACGTCTGTCCTGCCCGGACCCCTGTCACCCGCTCAGCCCGATGCCCCCCAAATGCCATCCCCAGCTGCTCACCAGACCACCTCTCCCACGTTGGAGGAGATGAGGTAGCGGATGAACTGCTTCATGTTGTTGTAGATGGCGCGGCCCTCCTCCACGGCAGCCACGATGGTGGAGAAGTTGTCGTCGGCCAGCACCATCTCAGAGGCTGTCTTGGCCACGGCAGTGCCAGAGCCCATGGCGATGCCGATCTCAGCCTTCTTCAGGGCAGGGGCATCATTCACGCCATCCCCCGTCTGAGGGAGAAGGAGGTGGGGCTCAGCTGCGGCCCTCATCCCCCTCCCCACCGTCACCAGGAGGGCCATCTGCGCGGACGCTTGGGCCTGGACACTCCTCACCATGGCCGTGATCTCATCGTAGGACTGCAGGTACTCCACGATCTTGGACTTGTGTGAGGGCTCCACGCGGGCGAAGCAGCAGGCGCGGCGGCAGGCATCCCGCTGCTCAGCCAGGGGCAGGTCGTCGAACTCTCGGCCGGTGTAGGCTCGGTCGGTCACCTCCTCGCTCTCTGAAAAGATGCCAATTCTTCGACAGATGGCGATGGCTGTGCCCTTGTTGTCTCCAGTGATCATGATCACCCGGATCCCAGCGTCACGGCACAGCTGGATGGAGCCTGTGACCTCCTTGCGTGGCGGGTCCAGCATGCCGACCACGCCAATGAATGTTAGGTCCATCTGGGGAGACAGCAGGCAGCCAGAGCTCAGGAAGGTACCCAGGGATGAGGCAGGACAGAGACTGGGGGAGCAGGGAGAAGTCAGGGGCTGGGGCCTGCAGCTTCAGGGCCAGGTGTTGGACCTCGATGTGGCCGGAAGTGTTTCTCATCCCTAGAGGCGCCTGCAGTTCCTGGCAGTGCCAGGCTTGCTGCAGACGCCAGGCTGGGCCTTCCGTAGAAAGGCTGTGAGTTAGAAGTCACAGCAATGGCTTCTGCTTTTGGCAGCACCATCACTGGCCTGACTCTGAGCACATCCCTGTGACCTGCTGGGGCACAATGTCCCTCTGTCAAATGGAGGCAGTGGGCTTTTGTGCTGTTCCGTGTCCGTGAAAATATTCACTGCCTCGAGATGGCCTGGCTGCGTGAATAAGGCCAGCCGTGCCCCATTGCGTTCAGTGACGGTCCCCCTCCCGACACAAGAGCCTCGCTTCATCACAGGGCAGCTCAGGGGCGGGGCTGCTCAGCAAAGCACCCCCTGTACAGCGTGCTTAGCCTGTGTGAGGTCCTGGGTTCCATCCCCAGCATCACGAGTAGGTGACAAAGCAGCAGCGGCAGCAGGCCAGGTGACTCCCGAGGCTCCTTCGGACTCATGTCCTGCCCTTCTGTGACCCACGCTCCACGTCCACTGATGAAGTGGAACGGCAAGGTGGAGGGAGGGCGTGAGGTGACCACAGAACACCTGCCTGTTCATGAACCAGGACAGTGCTCACCTCGTACTCCATAAACTTGGAGGAGTCATCCAGGACCATCTCTTCTCGCTTTGGGGGAGAGTCGCGGGTGGCCAGGGCCAGGCAGCGCAGGGTGTCCCGGCCGGTGCCCCACTCCTTGATCACCGACAGGATCTTCTCCTTCACGGGCCCCGTCAGTGGCACACGGGTGGTGCCCACTCGCACATAGTTACAGCGGTCGATGACCCCCTCGGGGGCGCCCTAGGAGAGCAGAGCAGTGTTCGGACGCAGGGGCCCCGAGGCGCAATGGGGCGGGCAGGCCCAAGAGAGGCCCGGGAGGGGAGCGGGAGGAAGGGGCGGAGGCACGTGGCGATTCCCGACCTTCACAAACATCTTGTTGCCCACAGAAGCCCGGGAAGACTTGGCGGGGGAGCAGTAGACCGACATGGACTTGCGGTCTCGGGAGAACTCCAGGGTGAACTCCTTCCTCATTAGCTGGCGGATCACCTGGGGGCAGACGGACGGGAGGTTCAGGCCCTCAGTCAGCCGGAGGGAGAGTGGCCCAGCCCAGACAGGCTAGCGCCAAGCCGGGCACCCACGGGCAGCTCCGGGCCGCCAGAGCTTACAGTGTCCTCAGAGCACCGGGAGACAGGATGGCCTATGTGGCTCTGTCTCACGGGACTCTCGTTGAGGACAGAAATCTGTAACCCACACTGCCAACAAGGTACAGGGAGCCCCAGAAACATGGCCAAGGTGACTGAAGAACAGCATTTTTACCTCTGTTGAATTTTAATTAATTTAAATGAAATAATCACGTGTACGGTACTGTCAGGCGGTACAGGCCTAGTGCCCGGCATGCAGTAAGAAGTGCTCCACATTGGGCGTGGTGGTGGCACAGGCCTGTAATCCTAGCATTCTGGGATGCTGAGGCAGGTGGACTGCAGGTGTGAGCCCAGCCTGGGAAACTTGGTAGCTTAGCAAGACTCTTCAATATAAAAAATAAAAGCAGGCTGGGGATGTAGGTCAGTGCAAAGGCCCTAATTTAAAAAAAAAAATTAAAAATTAAAATACATTTAATTCCTAAGATGTGTTATGTACATGCACCAACTTCCCACAAGGAATGTAAACATACACTACATACATGCATTAATAAACTAAAAAGTAAATATATTATCATCTGTAAATTCTAAATAATTCTCGATAGATATTTAGGGTGTTTTCTTTCTTTTTCTGTTTTTCTGCAGCACCAAACACTAGAGTCTTGGACATGTGAGGCTCTGCCATTGAACTGCGGCCCTAGCCCGTGTTATTTTTCGTTCTGGGACAGGGTCTCTGTAAACTGCTCATGCTGGTCTCAAACTTGAACCCCCCAACCTCAGCCTCTCAGAGAACTGGGATCCCAGGCATGTGCTGCCATGCCCAGCTCGCTGTTGTTTTTATTGTTAGATTCAATAAAGCAGCGATGAGCATCTTGCATATATGAAAACAAAACATGACTGGCCAGCATGCTTGAGTCCTTGGGGTCCCTCCCCAGCACCCCATGAAGGAGAAGGAATGGAAGGAACATAACACCCCAGAGAAACTCAATCTAGAAATCCAGCAAATATTACCAAGCATCCAGAGCGAGTGTAACAGAACTGGCCTCGCTCCCTGCCTGTGGGTGCAGTGGCCAGTGACCCCAACCCTAAGTCAGAGCTGAGACCCAGCGGAAGCAAGCGCTTTGAGAGACCAAGGGCTTGCCGGTGTCTGTGTCCAGCTCTGTGCATTACTACTTGGGATACAACAGGAAGGCGTGGGCTGCAGGGGCAGCAGAAGCAGCCGTACAACTGCAGGGGCAGGGTCCTGCCGGAGGTCAGCCTGGCCAAGAGAAGCTGCTGGCGAGGCCGGCCGCCTGCATGGGTGGGGGTCGAAGCTGGGGCACAAGGCCCTGCCTGCCCGGCGCCTGGCAGCCACTGTGTGACCACAGGGAAAGGCTGTGCAGGGGGTCCAGACTCACGGAGTTGCAGGCGTTGGCCCTCTCCACCTTCGAGAGGCTTCTCACGTCAGTGTTGAACACATTCATCTTCTCCACCAGGGTGGTGAGTGCTGTCTCCGTGGCCTCGCCGACCTTCTCATAGACGCCCTTGGCCTGAGAGGGCAGGGGAGGAAGTGTGTGCCTCGCCCCTTGCCCACACCCACCCTTCCCCTGGATGGTGCAGGAAGGGAGCCAGCCACTCCCCTGGCCCCTCCCTACCACCTCTTCCTCCTGGCCCACCAAGGAGGTGCAGGTTCCCGGGTGGCTGGCAGGAAGAGGGGCAGCTGCGGGGTGGGAGGTTACCTCGTTGAAGTCCAAGGAGGAGTCATTGCACAGGGCACAAATGGTGGCCAGCTCCACCAGCCCATCATACTGCCCTGCACGGACTGGCTTATCGTTCTTCATGCTGGCCGCAGGCGGGGGAGGAAGGAGCAGAGAGACAGTGGAGAAGAACAGGAAATGAGATGCAGAGATGCCCAGGGAAGCAAAGAGCAGGGTGCAGGAGGGACAGGACAGCTGGGAGGTTGCAGGGTCAGAAGGAGCTGGGCAAAGGCGGAAGCAAGGTGGGGTGGCTGTGCAGCGCAGGCAGCGAGGGCTCCTGGTGACTTACACCTCTCCCTCCGGAGCATAAGTGGAGCCAGTGATGGAGAACTCGTTCAGCAGGCAGATGTCCCCATCCACCTTGTCGACGATGAACATCTGCAGGGGAGAAGGGCAGACTCACAGGTGTCCACTCCCCCATCTGCCAGGCAGCCTAAGCGAACCTCCTTCTAGCCTTTCTTGGGGTTCCCCACACCCCAGCCCCTTCCCAACCATTCTGCATGGTCTGTGTCAGTGGCCTTATAACAAGGTTCTGCAGGCCGTGCGGAGCCGCCTTAGGCCAGTTATAAAGCGGTGTGCACAGTGAGGTGCAGCGGACCTGGGCTAGTCTGTCAGCGCCTGGCCATCTGCAGCTCCCTCTGCCCACTGCAGCCAGAGCTTCCCATCCAGAAGAGCCAGATACCTGGATTACTTTCCTGTGAAATCTCCTGTCTTTCAAATGAGGACAGGAGCCTCTTTTATGGAAGGCATGGGGTCTGGTTTGGGACTCTGGCATCTGATGGCTGTTAGAGGACAGATGCCGAGCAGGCAGCTGTCCCCTTTCCCATCCCAGAGCAAGCACCAGGGGACTGGACTTCTCATTTCCGAGAAGAGAAATGGTTAAGTCATGTTCTAGACTGGAAGGCTTGAGCTGGGCATGGTGGTGCACGCCTGTAATCCCACACTCAGGAGGCTGAGGCAGGAGGACTGCAGGGAGCTTGAGGCCAGCCTGGGGTACCCAGTGAGTCAAGGCCAGCCTGAACTACATAGCAAGATGCTGTCTCAGAGAGAGAGCGCAGGGTGGTGGTGGGGTTCCTACACTCAAAGTTGGGAAATTTTTCAGCAAAAAAGTAGAATCCATTGTACTTAAAATTAGCCTTCTCCAAGGCTTTAAATACCAACAAGACTCTCTTGAGTCTCCCAAGTGGGCACGGGGACAGCCTTTCTTGCCCTGGTCCATGACACATCCCTCACACCTCAGGGCAGGAATTCTTTTTTGTGGACCTGGGGACTGATCCCAGGACCTCCCACATGCTGACCATGAACTCTACCACTAAGCCACACCCCCCCCCAGGCCCAGCAATGTACATCTCATGGCTAAGCAATCCTTAAAACTGTTTAGGGCAGAGGTTCTCCACCTGGGGCCCATGGACAATCTCAAAAGTCCATGAACATAGATGGCAAAAAAGCTACATCTTTATTTTCCCTCTCAAATTTAGCATTTCCTTCCAGGTTTGTTTGGTTTTTTGGGGGGAGGGGTGTACTAGGGATTGAACCCAGGGCCTACATACTGAGCTACATCCTCAGCTCCTTTTTAAATTTTTATTTTGAGATAGGGTCTTGCTATGTTGCCCTGGCTGGGCTTGAACTTTCATTATTTATTTATTTATTTTATTTTGGGGGGGGGGTTTGTTTGTTTTTTGCTTTGAGACAGGATCTCGCTATGTAGTTTAGACTGGCCTAGAATTCACTATGTAGTCCAGGCTGGCCTTGAACTCACAGCAATCCTCCTGCCTCAGCCTCCCAGGTGCAGACAGAAGGATCATTGGAGCCCAGGAGTTCAAAAGCAGCCTGGGTGGGCCAGGGATTTAGCTCAGTGGTTTCGCTGCCTGCTGCACAAGCGCAAGGACCCGAGTTCGATCCCTGGTACCAAAAAAAAAAAACCATGCAAAAAACAAAACATGTGACCCTGTATAATCACAGACACTTCCTTGCCACATTGCCTGTTGCAAGTAAAAGAGCATCATTCCAGCCTTGCAAGAGCAAGGTCCCAAGTTCGATCCCCGGTACCAAAAAAAAAAAAAAAAAAAGAGCATCATTCCATCCACCACTGCTTCAACATTGTGATAGTTTTTAGACCAACTGCTAGAGCACCATTTAATCCATTAATACAGAAATATATGCTACTGAATAATGCACTTCTTTTCTTTTCTTTTTCTTTTTCTGGTACCAGGGATTGAACTCAGGACCTTGTGCTTTCAAGCAAATTCTTTTTTTTTTTTTTTTTTCCTTTGGGACCTTGTGCTTTCGAGGCAGGTGCGGTGCCACTGAGGTAAATCCCTGGCTCAGTGCATTTGTTTTTAAAACATTTTAATAATTATATTTCAATCACCAATTTCTTTTGTAATCCTATGTATTTTTCCTGGTATTATTATTATTGGGGAGGTTGTGCTAGGGATTGAACCTAGAACCTCTAATATGCAATGCAAGAGCTCTACCACTGAGCTATTCCCCCGTCCCTTCCTATGTTTTATTTTATTTTATTAATTTATTAATTATCTTTTGGTGTTTTTGAAGCAGTTTCACTATGTAGTTCAGGCTGGCCTTGAGCTCACTACATAGTCCAGGCTGGTCTCAAACTCACAGTGATCCTCCTGCCTCAGTCTCCTGAGTGCTAGCTTACAGGCATGCACCACAATGCCTGGCTCTTCCTCTTTTTAAAACAGAATCTTATGTGTTTTATTTTTCATATTTAAAATATTACATAAGCCAGGTGAGGTGGTGCACATGCGGCAGGCTGAGGCAGAAGGAACACAACTTCCAGCCAACCTGAGCAATTTAGCAACTTGGTGAGACCATGTTTCAAAATAAAAATTTTAAAGAAAGGGCTGGGGATGTACCTCAGTGCAAAAGCCCTGGGTTCAAGCCTCAGAACCAGGGAGGGAGGAAGGGAGGAGAAGAAGGGGAGGCCATTCGGGTGAGCATTTGCTGGGCGCCCCCTTCCTGAGTGGCCACCCTGTAGGTGCAGTTTGCTGCTTAGGCAGGAGCTCTGGGGCCGCAGACTTGGATTTGGAGCTCAGTTCCACCACTGCTTCTGAGACGGGTTTTGGTGCATGTCCAGGCTGACAGACTCCTGGGCTGTGACCCCGCCTGAGCCTCTTGAGGGGCGGGGACGGCAAGTGCAGCCGCCTGGAGGCTCTGCTCCCCACTCACTGCGCATCTCTGGACAAGCTCCTGGGTCATCCAGAGCCTCGATTGACCCTCTCAGAGCGGGGCTCACGAGGCCTCCCCTGAAGGCTGCTGTTGAGGCAGAGGGAGCACCTGGCCGTGTGGGGCATAGGCGCTGTGACTAAGCTGAGCCGTCTGGCTGACCCTGTCACAGGGGACGGGGCGGTGCTCTGTCTGCCTCCAGCATTTCCCAGGGCCCATGTTTGGAAGGCTCCTGGCCACGGTGCCACCTGCTCCTGACCTTGCACACTGACATCTGGTTGGTGGTGAGGGTGCCGGTCTTGTCGGAGCAGATGACAGACGTGCAGCCCAGGGTCTCCACAGAGGGCAAGCTCCTCACGATGGCATTCTTCTTCGCCATCCGGCGGGTGCCCAGGGCCAGGCAGGTGGTGATGACGGCAGGAAGACCTGCAGGGAGGGGAGGGGGTGAGGGAATGACTGGGTGGGAAGGAGGGAGGGGGCATGGCCACGGAAAGTGGCCCCCAGAGATATCATCAGGGCCGAGCCCCTGGCCCTCCTGGGAAAGAGTCTCTGCCAGGAGATTCGCAAATAGGAGAAAGGAAGACGGCCTGCCATACCTTCTGGGATGGCAGCCACAGCCAGCGCCACGGCGATCTTAAAGTAGTAGATGGCTCCTCGGAACCAGGATCCCCCGTGGACAGGGTCATTGAAGTGGCCAATGTTGATGAGCCACACGGCCACGCAGATGAGGGAAATGACCTTGGAGAGCTGCTCCCCGAACTCATCGAGCTTCTGCTGCAGAGGGGTCTTGTCCTGCTCTGTGGCCGCCATCTGGTCACGGATCTTCCCGATCTCCGTGTTCACGCCGGTGGTGGCCACGATCCCCACGGCCTTGCCAGCTGCAATGTTGGTGCCCTGGGCAGGGGACAGAGAGGCAAGGAGCCAGGTGAGGGTGATGCTCACGCTGCAACCCCCATGCCAGGGCCCCAGAACTCACCGAGAAAAGCATGTTCTTCTTGTCCTGGTTGACGGCTCGGGGATCGGGGATGGGATCTGTGTGCTTGATGACAGACACAGACTCGCCTGAGGAGAGGGGGGCCACAGGGCGCTCAGATTTCTGCACACCCCTCCCTGACTTTCTGCCCTAAACCCACTCCCTGCTCAGCAGGTAGGGCCTGGCAAGGACCAAGCACCATGCTGGAGGAAATCTGGCCTCCGGAGGAAGCTGCTAGAGGCAGAGGGGAAGCCACTGCACTTGAGCTAAAAAGACTTCGACCAAGTTCCAGTGGAGCACTCAAACTGCACGGCTTTGATGCTTAGCCCCGCTTGCTCCTCTGTGAAACGTGCAGTGCTATGTGCACTTCTGGACATCTTGGTGACAGCCCCACAAGCAACAACGTAGATGTATGGAGATCAATGGAGAGCATGCTCCCGGGAAGGAGAGGTCCACTGTTGGGACACTGGCTCCCTACCCTAAGGGCAGGGCTCATCCTCTTGGGGAATATCCGCTGCTCTTCCCCTCTCCCTCCCAGTGGAGAAACAGAGCAGCCACAATTTGAAGCCACCTTGTCCTGCACCTTAGGGGAGTTCTCTGGCTACGTGTGTGCCCATGTCCATGTAAAGTGGCAGATCGATGGCCATGTGGAGAATAGCCCAAGACATCCGGGCCTCTCCCATGACCCCTTGCGTCAGGGCAGGCTGCCATTGCTCTCCTGCGGAGCTGGGAGGAGGCCTACTGCCGGGCCTCTCCTTCCGCTCTGTCTTCCCCGCCCCTCTCTCACTGCCCCTTCCCTCTGCATCCCCAGGCCAGCGCACCTGTCAGGATGGACTGATCCACCCGGAGGGTAGTGGATTTGATGGAAAGGATCCGGATGTCTGCGGGGACTTTGTCTCCCACTGTGGAGGAGCAAGGAAGAACAAGATCAGCTGGGAATGGAGTTTTCCTCCTTCCCAAGGAAGCCCCAGTCTGTCTGAATCCCTCACCTCTTCCACCCTTCTCGGGCCATCTACTTGGCCTTCCTGCCAGGCCCTCTGCACGTGCCCCTGTGGCCCCAGCAAGCAACCCTCTAACACCATTCCTACTGTCGCCTCATTGAATGCATTTCTTCCCACTGGTTCAAGCCCGTGAAGAGAAAGGGTCCAGTGTAATTCCTGGTACATAGTATGCGCTCATTAAATGTACCCTGAACAACTGCAGGGAAAACTAGAGACTGGCCAGCTACAACTGAAAATGTGAAACAGCAACCCAGGGAGGGAAACAAGAGTGGGAAAGGCAAGGAGGGAAGATAACTGAGAACCAGGTTGAGTCAGGGAGAGAAGTGGTGTCTGAGGAATAGCACAAAGCAAAAGGGAAGGAAGGAGAAAATGCAGAGCTGAGAAAATCAATCAACAGAGAGAAAAAGTAGAGCAACCAGCAGCAAAGAGTGAGCTGGAAGGAAGCATGTGAAGGATTCTGGGGCCAGAGGGAAGTCACAGAGCCTGGCGACCAGACAGGGAGCCAAGGCAGGGAGCTGGTGTGGCTGGCAGGAAAAGCAACACGAAGGTGGCCAGGAAGCCCACAGCGGCCCAGCACCCCAGAGCACTGTGGGAGGGAGGCGGACCCCGCCAGACTCAGAGACCCACAGAGGAGCTCAAGCCCCTCGGGGCCTCCGCCTGGTTCTGCACTGGCCCCACAGATGACACTGGGGACAGGGCGCATCTGCTTTCCGTTCCCTTGGCCTCAAGGGTCCCTCCTCCCGTGCCAGAGGAAGCAGATGGAGGGAGGAGGTCGGCCACGGAGTTGGGCAGACACCGTCACCCAAGCCCAGGTGATATTTATAGACATGCGTGATTCAGACTGCAAACGGTCACTGCCGCAAGACAGCCCTGCAGTGGGGCTCTGGGGTCCCCTGCTCCCCACCCTCCTCCTCGTGCTTCCCCTGGTGGTGGCCGGGTGTCTGGCGGAGGGACGGAGGCCTAGAAAGATACAGCCCCATGCCAGGGGCAGGAGAGGTGGGCAGGCCTATGCAGGGCAAATATAAAAACCGCTGAAGGGGGCAGAATCCCGTAATCTTAGCCACCCGGCCCCCACCCTCCCGGGAGGCATTAAGTGTCCCTCTCCGGGCAGGGCAGGCCTTCCTTGGGCTCCCCTCCTCCCAGGTCCCGTGCTCAGAGCTGGGACCGGAGTTTCCCTTACATGGCCGGGGGCTTGAGATTCGGCCCCCCTCTTCCCTTCTGCCCTCACTCCTTCCCCTTTGAGAGGCCTCAAGGGCACCGAGAGGTCAAGACTGAAAGCTGACCAAGCTTGGGGGTGGCTGGAAGGAGAGGGGGTGGAGACGGGACCATTGGCAGGGCCTGGGTTCCACCTGTCGCTCTCGAGTGCTGCGTGAGAGGAGGGAGCAGGGGTCTGCCTGCAGGCCTGGGGTCAGGACTGGCTGTTCCTGCCCCGGCTCTGATGGGAGGGGTGCTGTGGCCGCAGTGTCCTGGGCTGACCTCCTGAGGCATCTGGGAAGGAGGTGAAGGCTGCCCCATCTTTCTGGACACCAGGACCAGGGCTGACCAGGCCCCACCTCCTTGGCCTCAGACCCAAAGCCTTGCAGCCTGGACCACTGGTTCCTCTCACTCACCAGCCACCTCCACAATGTCCCCGGGGACCATGTCCCGAGCCTTGATCCTCTGCACTGACTTTCGGTCAGCCCGGTAGACCTTCCCCATCTCAGGTTCATACTCCTTCAGGGCCTCAATGGCGTTCTCTGCATTACGCTCCTGAGCAGAAGGTGGAGGAGGGCAGGTTATCCGAGGGAGGAAGGTTATGGGGAGAGGGGACTGGTCTGGGCGGACTGGGACAGTAGGTGAGGGATGTGAAGATGGAGGAGCAGGGACCAAGGTCCTAGGGGCGACAGGGACATCACCAAGGAGGCAGGTTGTACAGCCGCCCACTGAGGGCAGAAGAAGCTATCACTTATGACTAAGAAGTAAGGGCGGCTTGGGCAGAGCAAAAAGAAGTTGGGTGTGGTGGCACCACCCTGGAATCCCAGCACTCAGGGAGGCTGAGGCAGGGGGATTGCAAATTTGAGTTCAGCCTGGGAGACTTAGCAAGACCCTGCCAAAAAAAGAAGGAAGGAAGGAAGCAGGGAGAGAGGAGAAAGACAGAGAGAGAGAGAGAGAGAGAGAGAGAGAGAGAGGCGGGTTGGGGATTCTAGTCAGTGCAAAAGTCCTGGATTCCATCCCCATACGGCAATACACAAACAAGCAAAATCAGGAAGCAGGAGGGAAGTACAGAGGGG